TAGGGAAGAAGGCCCCTTGTATCATTTTTGAAACCTTAGAAAACTTAGTGTGCTTAAGTTTAAGTTGCCTCAAGTAGCCTCACTTGACCTTTTATGTGGCTTCCAAGATACAATGCAAGTTTACGTAAAGAACATTATTCATAACTACATTTCACTTTCTACTGAAAAGCAAAGCTGAAACGTTTTTAAGATATTAAAATATTAATGGGATATGAGGTTTCAAATTAAAATCAAGTCAGTATCATTTAGTGATGCAACTATTGACTAGATGCAAGAATATATATATTTACAGAGAATTTTCTAGAAGATAGGTATGTCTGGAAAATTTAATATCCTCCTTTACTGAAAATGGAAATGCATCTCCATGTAAACGTAATGCACTAAACCATAAAACTGATTGAAGTGAAGAAGATATAAATGTTTCATGTATGAAGTCATGAGTTTTAAATCATAATTTTTAACTACTTCAATAACACTCAGATTTTGAAGTCTTAGTAGATTCTCTAAACATTTTCCGAATCATTATATAAAGTCAAAACAAATGTACTTAGGTGTCTAATTCCAAAGTATCTACAGATTGGTGATACCATAATCGACACTATTTTGGGCCTAACCCGGGTTTCTAAGGACCTGGGTGTGACAGGGTCCCCGGGGTGCAACCTGGACTGTGGGAGTCCTGAGCCCTCTAAACTCAGCAACCTGGGTTGTCCCCCACACTGTGATGCTAATGTCAAGTTTCAAGCCTCTGGCAGGCACTGCTCTTACACAGCCATCCACAGGTAGGAACACAGCCAACTGAGTTACTCATGAACCATCAATAGGGAGGCTCCAGCCAATTCCTCCCAGCTCCCCACCCTTGCACCGCTGAACTGCACCATTTTGCACTGGTCAGAAGCCTAGCCAGTGTAAGCTCATTCGCCACTCCCTCAGTGTGGAATGGACATACACGAGGCTGTGTCGTCTGAGCTAAGATTCCTTAAGCACTTCATCCAAACCACAATTTTAGGCAAAATATAAAACAGTTTTCTTAACAACAGAAAGATAGATTTTTAAGTCATAACTAGCAGGCATAGAGATCAGCGTTGGTTACTTAAACTGAATTTATTTTTGTTTCTTAAGTTCTAACTTAAATAGATTTAGCAAGTGTAGTGGGGTGGCTGCCCCATTCCTGGGGAACAGGGGTTAAAAGCAGCCAAGCTAGGCTGATTGGGGTTTCCCCTGGGAGGGGAGTCTCTCTCCAGCCCTGGAGGGAGAAGGGCTGCCTGAGAGGAAGGTACCTGAAGTGGAGCAGTGCTGGGGAATAGGGCAAGGGAGCTGGGGAGCTCCAGCCTGGTAAAACCTCAGGCTGCAGGTCTTGTTGAAGGCCTACAGAGGTACTGGGGCTGCAGAGGTGCAGCCTGGGAATAGGCAAAGGCAGCAGGTCCTAACCCTTGCCAATGATGAGTGACCATTACAGACTGCAGTCTGCCCCAGTGAGCGGGGGCTAGATGATGACTGGCAGTAGCCACTGAGGTAAGGTGGGTTTAGAGGGTTGGGGGTTCCCCTGGGAAGGGAGACCCAGAGAGTGGGGGTGCTGCTGTTGTAGAACCCTGAGGTAAAGGGGCACCAGGGTCCAGGAGGACACAGGGCCTGAGGCAGGCGAGGCACCGGCCAACAGAGAGCGCTCCAAGTGCTGAAAGAGCTAATTCCTAAGACGACCAGCAGGAGGCGCTGCACCAGTGAGTCTTCTCTTTGCTACACGTGGTGCAGAATGTGGGCACACAGTCGCCCATGATACAAGGGGCAGGCCATGGACTGTGGGACTATTGCCCAGATCCGAGAGCTGAGGAACTGACAGTGGAGAAAATGGTGGACTGGTTCTGGAGGGCTTGTGTGGCCCGGCTCACTGAGCAGCAAGCGTGACTGCTTCAGCTGCTGCGGGGGAGGGCACATGGACCTCATTGGGGGCCAGGCACCTGGGGCAGGAGGCCAGTGCCTAAAAGCTGTTATGCCTGTGGGTGAAAGGGACACTTTAAGTGGGAGTGCCCCTACTGGGATGGAGCAAGGAGGCCCCACCCAGAAAACGTACCCCCTATGAAGTCAACAGGGGGGCTGCAGCTTGTTGGGCCTGTTGGAAACTGGGGCACATGAAGAGAGAGTGCCCTCAGGAGACTTGCAGGGCCCAGGCTAGCCCTGAGGAAAGGGCTAAGCTTGAAACAGACAATGGGAAGGCCATGGCCAAGGGAAGGCACAAGAGGTGCTTCCAGTGCCACAATGAGGGCCATATAAAAAGGCACTGCCCCCTAAGAAAAAGGGGGAGCGCCGACCAAGGGCCCCAGTCCAAGCCTGACCAGGCTGGAGGGACAGGGAAGGCTGGAGCCCCAAACAAGGAACTGTCAGGGGCAAAGAGGCCCCAGACAAATCAGGGAACCCACACGGGAGCCAGGAGGACTACGGTGGGAACCCAAATAGATAAGGGAACCCATGTAAGAGCTGAGAGCGCTATGGTGGGGACCCAGACAGTAAAGGAGGGAAGCAGGTTGCTCCCCTTGATAGAAACCCTGCGGCAGGAGAGAGACCTCCTGTGGGCTTGGCTGAGAGGGAAGCTGGGGAGATAGAGACACCCCCCTCCCCGCCAGTGAGCAGTCTTGAGGAGGGTGTGTATTGGGGTGGCTGCCCCACTCCTGGTGTTAAAGGCAGCCAAGCTAGGCTGATTGGGGTTTCCCCTGGGAGGAGAGTCTCTCTCCAGCCCTGGAGGGAGAAGGGCTAGCTACCTGAGAGGAAGCTATATGAAGTGG